ATTTGAATTCAACAGTCACTTCTTTACCTGAACTCCATGCATTTCACCTTATTGAACAGATTTAGTACTTAGTACTTACTTCAATGGTCTCCCACTGCACTGAAGCTTTAGTGTTGTCCCTCATTTTTAAGTCGCTCTGGATAAAAGCATCTGCAAAATGACTAAGTATAAAATGTAAATGTTGATTCCATCGAGTCCACTCAGGCGTCTAGCGTATCAATTGTATCTGCAGGCCCTTAATAAACACTTAGTTTTCAAAGCTGAACCCCTGTACCATTGTAATGCTATTTATAGAAGTGAAGGACAGAATAATAGAAACAGCACTCTCTTCTTGATTGCTTTAGTTTTTAACGTCACAACTAAATTCTCCATGGCGTGGTCTCACGAGACGTTGGAAACATTCCTCTGAGATTCTCGTCCATGTTGACACGATTCCATCACAATCATTTCTGATCCGTCAGCTGCACAATTCATGCAGCTTCTGTATGTGCATTACAGTAAAAAGAGACTGTTGTGCTGTGTAAATCACAGGAGATCAGCAGCTTCAGGAACACTCTTAACCTGCCTGTCTGGCACCAACAATCATGTTCACAGTCAAAACGTTCTTTTCCCATTCTGATGTTTAATGTGAACATTAACTGAAGCTCCTGACCTGTACCTGGATGATTTACATTTTACATTGCAGTGCTGCCGTGTGATTGGCTGATCAGATAATTGCATGAATAAGAGGGTGTGGAGGTGTACCTAATAAAGTGCTCGGTGACTCGGAGTGACTGCCCTCCAGTGATCACAGGAGGAACTACATATATTACAGAATGTTTATCATCACCATTCATATCACTACTGTATCACTGCTTCTATAATGCCACTGCACTATATACTGCACTCTAATCCAAGGTGAGGTACTGCACCTGCACTTTTCTACCATATCCCACACGACTGCTGTCAGGCCGTGGATACAGGCTTTTTAAAAATTGAGCTTGATGAATTTGTATATAGTTTTGTCTATGAGTGTGATACATGTATATGTGCCAATGTGTAATATGTGCTGACAGGGAGTGAATGCAACTGTTCTTTTAATGTATCTACGTTGTGTGTGTGTCATCTTAAATGTTTCTGTGCAATTGTACAGACTCGTGAAAAGCAAATTTCCTGTAGTAATAAAGACTATTATTGATGATTATTTCATGATAATTTCAAACATTCAACAAGTTTTTCTTGATTAAGCCGACTTCTTGTGCTTAACAGTGTGGAGCATGTAGACACCAGTCTATCTTCCTGTAAAATACACCTCATCGAGTCTTTCTGTGTCAGTGAAAGGAATAAACCATCACTTGAAGGGACAAAAGTTTATTGTAACCCTACAAAAGACACAGGGTGAGAAAAAAAATACAAAACAAAAATAAAAAATTATAGAAATGAAAAAAAAAAGATTCTCATTCTTATACAAGTCTCAAAACTATCCATCATACACGGACCACAGTTTATTATCATATTCATATTTTTTAATATAACATTTTGTTGTTAATGCTGTGTGTACATACAAAAATATAGCAAACTAAATAAGGCAAATAAATAGAGGTACAATATACAGAAAAATGGAACATTCCTCAATGTTTTAATCTTTTTTTAATCTTATCTCAAACATCAACAATGGTGTACAAAATGCTTTTTTTTTTTTTCCAACTGTACATCTTTCTGTGGAGGATACTTTTTTCCAACCATAAAAATACTGACTCCTCACAATTATACAACCTCTAAAAACTGGGTGCAACTCTTCTCAGGCAGTACAAATGGTGTAACAGGTGTGTTCCATATTGCAAGCAGTTTTCTATTAAAAGTTAAAAGTCAAACACATCACACTTTGTGCACCCTTCTTTAGGCATGCAGGTCGACGCCCAAGTGTCTGATTTGACAGAAATGTGCCCCCCCCCCCCCCCAAATCCATCCCATTTTTTTTTTACACTCCAAAGTAGGTGACAGACAAGCAAGGCTTTAAAACTCGACAGGAGTGTCACCTCTTTGTGTGCATGTCCCCACAAATTACCATCTCTGCCATCCAACAAACTATGTTGATGTGTTCCAGCGGCCCAGCCGGAGTCCCCCGCCTCACTCCCCCTTTTCTTTCCCTGTCTTTTTCCTTTCACACCGTTTTTTTTTTTCTTTTTTTGCACCACTCATTCGTTGCACCCTTATCATTTTCAGAGGCATTAAGCCCTCAACATGGTGCTGCAAATGGAAATGTCCCATAATAAAAAAGTGCATTGAACAAGCTACTAATTTCATTCCTCTTATTTCCATCTTTACACTCCAAAATCAGCCAGTCAATGGCCAAATAAAAATCCAAACATGTAACAACACTAACATGTAATAATACTGACAATGTTGCAATACCCCTCAGTAAATAGTCTGCACTACAATACGGGTTAAAGCTCTGGATTAAGAGTTTAAAGGGTCTGCCAAAGTCTGATATAGTAACTCTGACTAACTCGAAAGACAAAGGGAGCAGAAGTTAGAATGAGAACAGCCAAATATACAAGAGATGCTGGTTAAGAAGAAGCAATCATATGACATTTCCCTATCAGGACTTTGGCAGACCCTTAAACTCTTAATCCAGAGCTTTTAACCCGTATTGTAGTCAGAACGTATTTACTGAGGGGTATGGTGCAACATTATTTCAGCTATTATTACATGTTTGTTGTTGTTACATGTTTGGATTTTTATTTGGCCATTTGACTGGCTTGATTTTGGGAGTGTAAAGAATAGGAAATAAGAGGAATGAAATTAGTAGCTTGTTCAATGCACCTTTTATTTATGGGACATTTCCATTTGCAGCACCATGTTGAGGGCTTAAATGCCTCATGAAAATGAATAAGGGTGCAACGAATGAGTGGCAAAAAAAGAAAAAAAAAAAACGGTGTGAAGAGGAAAGACAGGGAAAGAAAAGGGTTGAGGCGGGGGACTCCGCTGGGCCGCTGGAAACACATCAATAGTTTGTTGGATGGCAAGAGATGGGAATTGTGGGGACATGCACACAAAGAGGTGACACTCCTGTCGAGTTTTAAAGCCTTGCTTGTCTGTCAACCTACTTTGGAGTTGGAAAAAAAAAAAATGGGATGGGATTTGGGGGGGGGGCACATTTCTGTCAAAATCAGACACTTGGCGTCGACCTGCATGCCTAAAGAAGGGTGCACAAAAGTGTTAGTTGATTGTTGACTTTAACCTTTAATAGAAAACTGCTTGCAATATGGAAACACACCTGTTACACCATTTGTACTGCCTGAGAAGAGTTGCACCCAGTTTTAGAGGTTGTATAATTCGTGAGGAGTCAGTATTTTTATGGTTGGAAAAAAAAGTATCCTCCACAGAAAGATGTCACACCGTTGGAAAAAAAAAAAAGCATTTTGTACACCATTGTTGATGTTTGAGATAAGATTAAAAAAAGAATTAAAACATTGAGGGAATGTTCCATTTCCTGTTAATTGTACCTCTATTTATTTGCCTTATTTAGTTTGCTATATTTTGTATGTACAACACAGCATTACAACAAAATGTTATATTTAAAAATATGGAATAGAATAATTAAACTGTGGTCCGTGTATGATGGATAGTTTTGAGACTTGTATAAAAGAATGAGAATCTTTTTTTTTTTCATTTCTATAATTTTTATTTTGTTTTGTATTTTTTTCTCACCCTGTGTCTTTTGTAGGTTACAATAAACTTTTTCCCTTACAAGGATGGTTTATTCCTTTCACTGACAACAGAAAGACTCGATGAGGTGTATTTACAGGAAGATATGACTGGTGTCTACATGCTCACACTGTTAAGCACAAGAAGTCCGGTCTAATCAGAAAAACTTGTTGAATGTTTGAATTATCATTGAAAATAATCATCAATAAAGTCCTTTTATTACTACAGGAAATTTGCTTTCACAGTCTGCATACAATTGCAACAGAAACATTAAGATGACCACAACCAACAACGTAGATACAATTAAAGAGATTGGCAATTCACTCCCTGTCAGCACATATACACATTGCACATATACATGTATCACACTCATAGAACAAAAAACTATATACCAAATTCATCAAGCTCAATTTTTAAAAAGCCTGTATCCACGGCCTGACAGCAGTCGTGTGGGATATTGGTAGAAAGTGCAGGTGCAGTACCTCACCTTGGATTAGAGTGCAGTATATAGTGCAGTTGCATTATAGAAGCGTGATTACAGTAGTGATATGAATGGTGATGATAAACATTCTGTAAATATAATGTAGTTCCTCACTGTGATCACTGGAGGGCAGTCACTCCGAGTCACCGAGCACTTTATTAGGTACACCTCCACACCCTCTTATTCATGCAATTATCTGATCAGCCAATCACACCGGCAGCACTGCAATGTAAAATGTAAAAATCATCCAGCGTACAGGTCAAGGAGCTTCAGTTAATGTTCACATTAAACATCAGAAATGGGAAAAGACGTTTTGACTGTGAACATGATTGTTGGTGCCAGACAGGCAGGTTAAGAGTGTTCCTGAAGCTGCTGATCTCCTGTGATTTACACACACAAACAGTCTCTTTTACTGTAATGCACATACAGAAAGCTGATGAAGTTGCAGCTGACGGATCAGAAAATGAGTGATGGAATCGTGTCAACATGGACGAGAATCTCAAGAGGAATGTTTTCCAAAACGTTCGCTGGAGACCACGCCATGGAGAATTTTAGTTGTAGACGTTAAAAAACTAAAAGCAATCAAAGAAGAGAGTGCTGTTTCTTCTATTTCTGTCCTTCACTTCTTATAAATAGGCATTACATGGTACAGGGGTCAGCTTTGGAAAAACTAAAGTGTTATTAAGGGCCTCTGCAGATACAATTGATACGCTAGACGCCTGAGTGGAACTCGATGGAAATCAACATTTACATTTATATATACTTAGTCATTTTGCAGATGCTTTTATCCAGAGCGACTTAAAAATGAGGGACAACACTAAAGCTTCAGTGCAGTAGGGAGACCTTGAAGTAAGTACTAAGTACTAAATCTGTTCAATAAGGTGAAATGCATGGAGTTCAGGTAAAGAAGTGACTGTTGAATTCAAATGCTATTTAAACACTAATGTTTTAAATGTGCCATATTTCTCTTCATTTATGATATCACACTGAGGTGTTTAAAGCCAGGGCCCTCGTAAATACTCTCTGTGCATCCTCAGCGAGCATGCTGAGGGAAATACTGAGCACATTGTGGGTGGTGATAAATGGGAGGGTCATTGCTTCTAGGATTCCAAACATTGGAATGAATCTGTATGCTTCTTCTGCTGCCGTTATTAAAGTTTGGCCTGAAGACAAGTAGATCACGTTAGAAACAAGGTCTTTGTTTATCTCTATTGCAGATGCTGGGGAAGTCATAACTGCTCTAAGATCAGCTACAGACACGCCTGCACTAAGAGCAAAATTCTGCAGTGACTCGCTATCAAGACCAAAAGTAACTTGGTACCTTTTGATGGCTTTAAATGCAATGTTTAGATCAGCAATGATGACAGTGAACCCAGGGATTGGTGCAGATTCTACAAATGCAGACAGAGAGGCGTAGTACTTTACAGTTGACTGTAAAACCTCTTTCTTCTTGTTGATGATCCCACGGCTGATATTGGGCAGGGCATACAGCAGAGTGTTCCTCTTGTGAGCAGGAAGTTCTCTCTCTAGAGTCTCCTCTAACAGACGGAAATCATACAGGTGGAGCTCAAAGCTGGACACCAGGAAGACCTGAGGAGACTCAACACCTTGTTTCTGAAGACCTGTGTCACAAAGAGAATGGAGACGTTGATATCAGGGAGTGAAATTTAAATAGAATTTCCTCATGTCAGGATATACTTCACAGTAAGGGTTACTGTCCAGGCAACACAAAGACAAGTGGATCATATGTACAGTAGACTAAATGGTTCAGATTGGAAAAGATGAGAGGTCACGCTTGCAGAGTGTCATTAGGAGGCTCAGTCAGTGCTCATATGACTTATTTTATTACCTGTTAACATTGTTAGCTCCTCCTCTCACCTTGGGCTGCCCAGTTCTTCCTCTAATCTCAGATTGTTTCAACTGATTAATTGTTAGAAGTGTGGGAGCATAAAACAAACCAGTCCTTCACAGGATAAAAAAATGTGATCCTAATCTAAAGAACCATTAGATCACGTTCTACCAGATTTATAACATAATTTCATATTTTGAATGTGGAATTGTATTTGAATGTAAGAGAGTACGATGTGTCAGGGTCAGATAGATACAGTCTGACTAAAGCTTCTATTCCTTAAGCGAATACACAAGATAGTGTTTAGTATCACAACAAGATTGGTTTGTTTTCAATAGCTGTAATCAGTAATCATTGTAAATGATTGTCCTTACCTTGAATGCAGTTTTCTCTGATTTGTGTCAGAGTTATTTCTGCGTTGAACTCCCTCTGACTTCTTTCTTCATTACGTAAGTCCTGGTCGATCTTTGAGCGAACAAAGTAGAACTTTTTCTCCATCCTCTGAATCTCCTGAGCGAGTTTCACATCATTTTCTCTGAAGCGATCAGCTGAGATGATGATGAAGAAGTCGAACCTCTCAAATCCAACATGCTGCAGGTACTTGTCAGCTGGAAAGCTGGTGGTTCCAATGCCAGGGAGATCCCACAACGTGACATTGGGATAGTTTGGATGGGGGTATGGTGTAACATCTGAGGTGGTTTCTACACAACCAGTAGGAGCGGCCTTCACATCTCTGTTGTCTATGCCTCTAAAGGCATTAACAAAGGTGGATTTACCAGAGCCAGACTCCCCTGTGATGCCAATATTTAATGGAATATTATTCTGCTGCTTCATATGCTCCTGGATCTTTGCAGCTGCTGAGGCAGGCCCGTAGGTTTGCAGCACAGCCCTAATTTCTTCTATTTGTTCATAATCAGGTGGGTCTACCATGGCACTCCTTGAAAAATAAAGAAACATAAAATCACTGTACTGTTTTCATTTTTGTACAGTAAATGCAGAATATATGTTAAGAGATTACAATTCAATACATGTTAAACGTGTGTATCTTTATAAAAGCTTGTGTAGTATATATGCTGTAAGCTACAGTGTGGCCTGCAATCAGTAAATGCTCCTCAGCCCTGGCAGCTGATGATTGGTTTGCAATACTCCTCTAATTTCCATTCTGGATATGAATCAGATGGCTCATCCATGCTGATTCTTTAAAAGAAGAAAAAGAAAAACATGCAATAATCATCGCATTGTTATTTTGGGGTTGAATATACAGTAGCAAATTATATGAACTTGCTTTGAAATGGTATTGTATGCTACAAAACCAGCAATCTTATATTCCATACAAGAAATCATGTGAGCTATAAAATCACTTCTAACAACAGATAAATAGTTTTGTTTCGACTGACACTGGTTAGTCCATCCTACTCATAGAACAGCCATGATCCTACTACATGTAGGATAATGCAAAGTGTGTTACCTACGACGAAACTACGGTATTAAGCACAGAAAAGTCGTAAACTGACGAGAAATTAAACCGATTTTACGTCGTTTTAATCTATATTGTAATATATAATTTTATAGTTTCAGCAGTCATAAACAATACATTGTAAGGCACATTACAGTTTTCTGTCTCGCTGTGCAGATCCGGAAATGTACAGAGTCCAAGCCGTTAGCCAGTGGCCAATAGAAACCTTCCGCTGTAAACGACAGAGATTCTAAACCAATCAGTGTCCGTCGTGTTGCCTCGTGCTCTGTGTCAGTAAAACAGCTGGTTTATAATACAACAACAAACGCGGAGAGGAGTATGATTGTTGAAAAGCTGCATATTTGACATCTTCACTTCTACATATTCACAGTGTCTGTTACCAGAACTCATGTCATGTAAATAGCATGTTTCGAAAGGCATGCCAACAAATTCCTTTGTTTTTGCCTCATAAAAGTGTTTATTTTAAAGAAATGGTTGGTGACATGTTCAAAGAATTCATATTTGTGACGAAGAAATCACTATATGCACACAAGTTGTATTTTTTTCAAAACTTACAAAGCCATTTTTCCTTTTAAAGGTGATCCAAGCATCAGGTTTATGATTTCTTTTCTATAGTGTAATTGATTAAACAATAGGATAAATGATGGATCAACATAATTGAAAAAAGTGGTTTATCTTCATTTTTTAGAGAAAAACCAATACAGTAACAAGAATGAACATTGGGTAACAGGAATTTGTGTCCACCTGTGTGTATGTGCATTTAGAGAAGGTAGTGAAGGATAGTGAAGGAGGTGGGGGGGGGGGATAGAAAGAGGGGATAGAGAGGTTGGCAGCCATCTCTCACTCCTTCCTCTGCAACATGCCATGGGTGGGTGTTTCTAGCTCCTGCTCAGTATGGATTCCCTCCATGTTCTTTTACAAAAGGTAAGAATAACAACACAGACAAGAAGCTGTAGATACTACATAAGTTCTCGGATCTCTGCATTGAGTACAAGTACCACAAATATATGTATAAATACTAGTGGATTAGCTCCCTGTAAGTATGGTATTCACATTGTAAAACTGATCTTAAATTTCAACAACTTTTTTCAACACAAATCTTAACTAAAACTTAAAAATCAAGCCAGTAGTATTTTTTGACCAATATACACACTTTTGGGCTCCCCATGGCCTTCAGAAGATCCACATGATACAACTTCCAAGTCAACATGTGACTTGCAGAATATTCCAAATTTTTCAAAGGGGGGGAACGTGTTACGGACTGAGTAACAAAATGGGGAAAGGACTAAAATGTGAATTTTAACTAATACACAGTGAAGCCTTTCAAAAAAAAAAAAAAACTGACAGTGGTTTCTTACATTCTGTAAATAGAGGTGGCAACAACGTTGGTAGTGGGCCCACTGAAGAAAGACGAGGTGCAGAACCTCACCTTGGATTTCAATGCAGAATACACATACTGTTTTGTAACAAATGTATCATGCAAACTACCAACATTAACTAACATGATTATTAATAATAGTATAGTGACACAGTGGTGATATGAATAATGATGATAAACATTACAGTTAATACCTGTGGTACCAGCGGAGGGCAGTCACTCATCATAATCGTCCACAGGTGCCAACAAAACACAGTGACACACTCACTAATCACTTTGTATTGAACACCTGTACACCTTCTTACTCATGCTATTGTCCAATCAGCCAATCATGTGGCAGCACGGCAGTGCATAACATCATGCAGATACAGGTCAGGAGCTTCAGTTAGATTCAGTTACATTTAATCACTGTTCAAGTGTATATTTCACTAAGGCTGTCATTTTAGTCATGATGTAAGAACAGCATATGTTCACTTGACAATCATCTGATGTCTGACACAGAGACTTGATATTTCATGTAATGAAATGACAAAAAAAGCCTTCATTTCAATCAGAAGAAAATAGATTATTCAGACAGTAACCATCACATCAACTGATTTAATCATTGTTTGGTTAAATGTGCAACTAGATTAGAAAACTATGATTTGTATACAGTGCTTGATAAATAATTACACTGCACTAAGAAAAAGGATTCAGAGGCTCACTGCACTGTACAGTAACAGCTTTAAATGTGTCATGTTTCCATTCATTTATATCACACTGAGGTATTTAAACCCAGGGCCCTTGTCAATACTTTCTGTGCATCCTCAGCAAGCATGTTGAGGGAACTACTGAGCATTCTGTAGGTGGAGGTAAAAGAGAGGACCATTGCTATTGGGATTCCAAGTATTGGAATGAATCTGGATCCTTCCTCTGCTTCCATTAATGCAGCTTCGCTTGCTGAGAATGATAATACCTTGATGACAAGCTCTCTAGTTATTTCTACTGCAGCCAGTGGTGATGTCATCACTGCTTTGAGATCAGCCAAAGGCACACGTGCAGTGTGAGCAAGATTCTGCAGTGACTCACTATGAAGACCAAAAGTAACTTGGTACCTTTTGATGGCTTTAAACAGAATGGTTTGATCAACAGCAACAGAGAGCCCAGGGACTGGTGCAGAACTTTATTTCTGACTGTAAAACCTCTTTCTTCTTGTTGATGATCCCACGGCTGATGTTGGGCAGGGCACACAGCAGAGCGTTCCTCTTGTGAGCAGGAAGCTGCCTTATGTTGTTGATTCTTTTTATAAAAACATCTAAAAACTCTCACACATCTCTTGGAGGCATCAGTAAAATGGCTAGGGGAGGGGGAGGTGATGGAATCTATAACTTTGAATATAATTCTAGGATTAGAATGTTTGCTAAAATTAGATCAGAAAAAAGGATGTTATTGCTTCTTTAACTGACTTCTGATAGTTCTCCATTGCATCTTTCCAGATTTCATAAAACACATGTAAACCTGTTTGTTTCCATTTTCCATTTGTTTTCAAGTCTCTCTTTAATTCTTGGGTGGATTCATTCAACCAGGGTTGAGGTTTTTATTTATAAACTGGTACTTTTACTGAAGTAAAGGATGTGAATACTTCCACCACTGTGAGTGACCCACTGAAATATATAAAACAGCTGTTAGTAGCTTCAGTGACAACAAGCAGGTGAACCTCACCTTTAACCTGCTGTTGGTTGAAAATTCTGTGTAAATCCCATCCAGACCTTCCTGTAACACATCCACACTGATATCCTCTCTCTGTGGATATTCTATAAAACACCAAAGATGACTGTGCAAAATATTAAAGGAACCCAGCAGGTTGTATTTCCTTGAAGCAGAGCTCAAGTTCTAAACTATATCCAAATTTAATACAGACCCAGAGTGTGCACTGTAGGTTGTACAACATAGAGAAGAAAGTCGAAATTATAATGAACAAAGTCAGTAACTTATAACCTGTGACTCAGTAAAGAAATCACAGAGGCTGTCTGTGATGCAGACGTCAGAGACAGTTTTTATTCTGAGAAGAACAGAACCATCAGAGGCACCAGTGTATATTTGGCCTAGAAACTTCCCTGCATCGCTGAGCTGTTTTCAGTTGCACTTGCTTTCCTTATTTTCTTCTTTCCCCACCCATGGACACACCTGTCCCAGTTTTATTTTAAGACCAGTCAACTACCATTTTCTCCAGCTCGTTGTCAGATTGTCTGTTTCCGTTCTTGCTTCCTGTTTTTGGATTATCTGGTTCTGGATTCCTGTGTTCCTGTTTCTGTTCCCCTGGTGTTTTTCATGTACCTGCTACCTGCATTTATTTCTGTGTTGTTTGTACCTGGTTACCTGCCCGCCACCTTGTCCACCCGTCTGAATATAAGCCTGCAAGCTACTTCATTAAACAAGCTTCCCTGTGTGTTTGAATTTGGGTCTCCTGACTGTGCTGTTATCAGTGATCCCGGACCTGTAGCAGTAGACTCTCTATTGATATTTCCATTCACTACAGTAAATGATGCCTGCATATATGGAGACTGTTAGATTCACCAACACAAGACTGATAAATTTGAGACAAGCCCTGTTTGGATGTTAAGGAGTATTAAACCACCAGAGGCTCTTTCAGCTGTAACAAATAGTGACTGCCAGATTTAAGTGTTGATTGAAGTTTGTATCAGGTTTTTTATGAGACTTTTTCTCATTTTTCTCTCTGAGATGTGACGACAGTCAACCCAGCCCAACCCACTATGGACGGTAAAATGAATTCATGAGAACAGTTATTCACTGGTTTAAAGTTTTTAAAGTTCACATTTATTTTCTAAATGTCATGATCATTTATCAACAGTATACAGTATCTTCTCTCAACAGTAACAAAGGAAGAGGAAATTCTGTGTGGTGTCTGACATAGTTGATCTTTAATGTAATGACAAAATAACAAATTTCAGCTCATTGCAATGAACAATTCATGTGATCATGTTGGAGGGCAGAAGTCCAGGTCTGGGCCAGAGTATGTGTCTGAACCTCTTCACCAACACTTAACTTACAACTAAAGTGCACACCTACTGGATTTCCAAAAAGTTCAAAGAATTCACTGGAGATGCTCAGAGTTCATGCAATAGAGTTTATTCTTTCACAAGAGATACACCCGAGCCAGCACCGGTAACCGTACTGAGAACAGCCTGCCTAAACATCATCTTATATAGTCAGTTACCCCTCCCTCTTAGATGGAGTCTCCACCTATTTCTCTGAAAAAGAACCAATCTTTATCCTAGAAACAATGGTGTCATGTTTTCCCTGGAGTTCTCCAAGCCAGTCATGTCAGGACATGGACTTCCAGATCATTTTTTATTTTTTTAAACTTTATGCTTTTCAGGTTACATCACTCTTTTCAGGTCAAATGTTTCAAACCTGCTCCAGCAAAGGCTGGCTCACATGCAGGTCTCTTCTTAGTTGTGGATATAGCTGATACATTGAGTTTTAACATTTATAATGCAGAGTATATTTTAATAATGCTGTGTTACATGTTAAATGAAAGTTTACTACAGCAATCATTCAAAACCCTTCATTTAAAGAAGATGAAAACACATTATTTAGACAGTAACCATCACATTATCTGACTTAATCATTGTTTGGTTAAATGTGCAACTAGATTAGAAAACTATGATTTGTATACAGAGCTTGATAAATAATTACACTGCACTCAGAAATAATTCAGAAGTTCACTGTATTGTACAATAACAGCTTTAAATGTGTCATGTTTCCCTTCATTTATGATATCACACTGTGGTATTTAAACCCAGGGCCCTTGTAAATACTTTCTGTGCATCCTCAGCAAGCATGTTGAGGGAAGTACTGAGCACTCTGTAGATGGAGGTAAAAGAGAGGCCCATTGCTATTGGGATTCCAATTATTGGAATGAATCTGGATCCTTCCTCTGCTGCCATAAATGCAGCTTCGCTTGCTGATAATAAAAATACCTTGATGACAAGATCTTGAGTTATTTCTACTGCAGCCAGTGGTGATGTCATCACTACTTTGAGATCAGCCAAAGGCACATCTGCACTAAAAGCAAGATTCTGCAGTGACTTGCTATCAAGACCAAAAGTAACTTGGTACCTTTTGATGGCTTTAATCAGAATGGTTAGATCAACAGCAACAGAGAGCCCAGGGACTAGTGCAAATGCTCCGAGTGCAGACAGAGAGGCGTAGTACTTTACAGTTGACTGTAAAATCTCTTTCTTCTTGTCGATGATCTCACGGCTGATATTGGTCATGGCGAGCAGCAGAGCGTTCCTCTTGTGAGCAGGAAGTTCTCTCTCTAGAGTCTCCTCTAACAGATGGAAATCATGCAGGTGGAGCTCAGAGCTGGACACCAGGAAGACTCAACACCTTGTTTCTGAAGACCTGTGTCACAAAGAGAATGGAGACGTTGATATCAGGGAGTGAAATTAAACTGAAATTACAAAAAACCTCTTGAGGTTCCACATGTCAGGATTTACTTCAGAGTGTCATTAGGAGGCTCAGTCAGTGCTCATATGACTTATTTTATTACCTGCTAACATTGTTAGCTCCTCCTCTCACCTTGGGCTGCCCAGTTCTTTTTGACTCTTCAGTACTTACAATGAAACAGTGTCTACTTGTGAACCTTGTTGAATGTAAGTTTTAGTCGTACGTGATTTTCCTCTCTAATCTCAGACTGTTTCATCTGACTAACTGTTAGTGACTTGGAATCATAAAACAAACCAGTGCTTCACAAGAAAAAAAATCTGATCCTAATCTTAAGAACCATTAGATCACGTTCTACCAGATTTATAACATAATTTCATATTTTGAATGTGGAATTGTATTTGAATGTAAGAGAGTACGATGTGTCAGGGTCAGATAGATACAGTCTGACTAAAGCTTCTATTCCTTAAGCGAATACACAAGATAGTGTTTAGTATCACAACAAGATTGGTTTGTTTTCAATAGCTGTAATCAGTAATCATTGTAAATGATTGTCCTTACCTTGAATGCAGTTTTCCCTGATCTGTGTCAGAGTCATTTCTGCATTGAAATCCCTCTTACTTCTTTCTGCATTACGTAAGTCCTGGTCGATCTTTGAGCGAACAAAGTAGAACTTTTTCTCCATCCTCTGAATCTCCTGAGCGAGTTTCACATCATTTTCTCTGAAGCGATCAGCTGAGATGATGATGAAGAAGTCGAACCTCTCAAATCCAACATGCTGCAGGTACTTGTCAGCTGGAAAGCTGGTGGTTCCAATGCCAGGGAGATCCCACAACGTGACATTGGGATAGTTTGGATGGGGGTATGGTGTAACATCTGAGGTGGTTTCTACACAACCAGTAGGAGCGGCCTTCACATCTCTGTTGTCTATGCCTCTAAAGGCATTAACAAAGGTGGATTTACCAGAGCCAGACTCCCCTGTGATGCCAATATTTAATGGAATATTATTCTGCTGCTTCATATGCTCCTGGATCTTTGCAGCTGCTGAGGTAGGCCTGTTGTTTTGCAGCTCTTCTCTAATTTCTTTCATTTCTTCCATTTCTGGATATGAATCAAATGGATCATCCATGCTGATCCTTGAAAAGAAGAGAAAAAACCACCGTATTGTTATTTTGGGGTTGAATGTACACTAGCAGAATATATGAACCTTCTTTGAAATGATATAATAATAATAATAATAATAATAATAATAATAATAATAATAATAATAATAATAATAATAATAATAATAACTTTGTTTACGTAGCAAAGGAAATAAAACCTGCTGGGTTCCTTTAATATTTTGCTCAGTCATCTTTGGTGTTTTATAGAATATCCACAGAGAGAGGATATCAGTGTGGATGTGTTACAGGAAGGTCTGGATGGGATTTACACAGAATTTTCAACCAACAGCAGGTTAAAGGTGAAGTTCACCTGCTTGTTGTCACTGAAGCTACTAACAGCTGTTTTATATATTTCAGTGGGTCACTCACAGTGGTGGAAGTATTCACATCCTTTACTTCAGTAAAAGTACCAGTTTATAAAAGTAAAAATACTTCACTACAAGTAAAAGTCATTCAAAATATTATTTGAGTGTTATCAATACGTTTTATCTGTTTTTTTATGCACGATGTTAATGTGAAAAGTAACCAGGGTAACTGTAGTTGTCAGATAAAAAGTCCCATATCTTCCTCTGATATGTAGTGGAGTAGAAGGATAAAGTAGCAGTAACTGGAAATTTGTAAGTAAAGTACAAGTACCTGAAAACTGTACTGAAGTAAAGTACAAGTACTTCTTTCCAACTCTGGTCCCTCACTGTGCAGTCTGTTTCAGCAGAGGAAAAGCATTTTGTGAGATTTAACTGAGGAGGGTGATAAACTTCCTCTGTTCACCTGGTTAGAATCAGTCCAATCAGCTTCTGTTGTTGAATCTGTTCATAAAAACATCTAAAAACTCTCACACATCTCTTGGAGACATCGGTAAGATGGCTAGGGGAGGGGGAGGTGACACAGTCTGTAACTTTGGATATAATTATTTGTTCTGTTATTCATCACATCTTTCCAGATTTCAGAAAACACATGTAAACCTGTTTGTTTCCATTTTCCATTTGTTTTCCAGTCTCTCTTTAATTCTTGGGTGGATTCATTTAACCAGGGTTGAGGTGTTGTGTTGTATTATATGCTACAAAACAAGGAATCTTATATTCTAGGGAAGAAATCATGTGTGTTATAAAATCACCTCTAACAATAGAGACACAGTGTATCAGATTCATTACAACATTGTAGAATAATCCTATTTTTCCTTCATGTTACGTTTCCACTGACACTGGTTATTCTCTTATTCCTCAGAGTGAACTGTCACAGATTAAACACTAAACTTTGCTGAATATTAGCAGCTGCTCACTCTTTTCTCCCTGATGTTGAAGTAGATGAAAGTGGAGGAGCAGATATAAACTATATAACTTTAAATGGAGACCAGGAGAAGAGACTGCAGATGTTTAAGTTGAATTCAATCCTTTCCACAGACCAGTCCAAACACCCTTTTGTGATGGAAACTCTAAAGCAAATAATGTTCTTTCTGTTTCCTCATGTGGAGGCCACAGTGATACCTGTAGGTGAGATGATTTTCATGTTTTAGTCTGTTTGTCTGTTGACTTTCCATTTCACAGTCTAACACAGCATTACCTGTGTGTTACTCATCAAAACATGAGCTCCAAGTACTGGAGGGAAATGGAGGGAGGTTTTTGCTGAGGATGTGTGGAAACTGATTCACAAGTTCACCATATTGTCTCAGTCATTAAGTTATCAAGTGTGATATTCTCTGGCCTGCAGTCTACTGCTACAGGTCCGGGATCGCTGATAACAGCACAGTCAGATGACCCAAATGCAAACACACAGGGAAGCCTGTTTAATGAAGTAGCTTGGAGGCTTATATTCAGACGGGTGGACAAGGTGGCGGGCAGGTATCCAGGTACAAACAACACAGAAATAAATGCAGGCAGCAGGTACATGAGAAACACAGAAACAAATCCAGGACCATGAGCAGAACAGTACAGGCAAACAGGAATCCAGAACCAGATAATGGCAATAACTGGAAATTCTGTGTAGTCTGGTTTAGCAGAACATATGTATTTGGTGCGATTTAGTTGTGGAGGATGATAAACTTACTCTGTTCTCCTGGTTAAAATCAGTCCAATCAGCAAGCGTCTTGTTCTGACCTGCAGCCTCCTCCTGAGATCTCCTTCAGCTCACTGATACACTCTGCTTCTCCTCACTAGTTGGGAAGGTTGAGGTCACTAAAACAGGGTCAGGTGGTGTTCCTGTCAAGCTGGTTCTTCCAGAATCAGATGCCAAACCTGGATGTGCAGAGTAATAGAAAACAATAGTCCATACTCTATAACCACAGGGCGAGGTCAATTTTAATGTACTTGTAGCTGTAGCAAAACGTCACTAATATTTCCAATCACAACCACAAATTATGCCTGGCTGTAAAATATTTCACAATCCATGTTTGTATCTCGTGGAGTATTTAAACACCAGAGTAACATGTTTCCATTCATTTATGATATCACACTGAGGTGTTTAAACACAGGGCCCTTGTAAATACTTTCTGTGCATCCTCAGCGAGCATGCTGAGGGAACTACTGAGCATTCTGTTGGGATTCCAAATAATGGTATGAGTCTGAATGCATCCTCTGCTTCTATTAATGCACCAGTGCTTGAGGGCAGGATGTTCATGACAAGCTCTTTAGTTATTTCTACTGCAGCCAGTGGTGATGTCATCACTCCTTTCGCATGTGGAGACGCCACACGTGCTGGACCAGTGGTCGCCACCACAGCCAGACAAACCTTTTTAGGGCTCAGACGACATCCCTGTGTATGGCTCTGCTGCATGAACTTTGTACTAATAAAGACTATTTCCTGTTATTGCTGGGTCTTTTCTTCATTTTAAATGATTTCCCTTACTGTACAGTCAGTGGCCAATAGAAACCTTCTGCTGTAAACAACAGAGATTCCTAACCAATCAGTGCCCATCATGTTGCCTCCTCTGTGTCAGTAAACCAGGTGGTTTACAAGAAACGCAGAGAGGAGGGGTATGATGATAATAAAATCACACACCTCCCCAAACATTTAGGAGAACAGAACCAGACAGTGGCTACACACGATGAAGAGCAGCACACTCTCCAGACTTAAACCCCATGGAGCTGGTTTGTGATGAAATGAACAGAAAGTGAAAGCAAAGCAACCTGCAAGTGCAACACAATCATGGGAACTTCTGAACATTAGATCCATTGTAGAAAGAAGCCACGAGTGTGTTCGGCTGCTGAACTTAACTTGCAACAATGATGTGACCTTTTGCATTTTTCACTTTTCATGGCATAGAAAACAGCAGCGCTTATTTCATTTCATTCCTTTTGTCCTCAGTGGTCAAGCGGTTGTCGTGGAGTTACTCCTCGGCAGGGATGTTGTCCTCAATGATGACTCTGCATGTTTCAAACTATAAAGTTCAGTTAATGAGACAGACTCAGACTACTTGACAGAGCAGGAAAGAAAATGATTAAGCCAGTTTCTTTTTAAAACTATATTTGTGACATCTGGTGCCTTTATTTAGCAAATTGTTTCTCCCAATTACAACTACATTTCCCATTAACCCTGTTTTATCTTGTATAAGAACAACACCCTACGTCCTTATTTGGCTGTGTTGTATTCCAGCAGATTTTCTAATGGTTAATAGACCAGAAACTAATATTCACATGTACTATATATATTACATATACACATTGGCAGAGAATGTTGTATGTAATCAATTTTCCTATTACCCAGGGACCTTTGCTTGCACTTCTTCACCACCCTTTATTCGTTTCTTCTTCTCCAGTCTCAGATTATCTTCATGCAGCCTGGGACATCATACAGGATGGAAGCATAACACTTGTCAGTCTTGTCATAGAAGTGAGTGTGTTGGTGTTCCCTTACAATGTGTTGCTGTGGGCTGAGGAGAGCATGGGCTCTTTGGTCGAAGGCAAACCTCTCTCCAAACCTGTGTGTACATTCTTGCTCCCATTAGAATAATGCCACTTGTTGCTTACAGGTCAGGGTGTGTGAACCTCTGCTGCATCTGAACAGCCCATCTGGTCTTTGATTAGTCCAAATTCCTTCAGAATGACTTCTGGGTCTGCACCATCTACTTGAGCTCAATCACACAGGCTCACCACGGAACATACTGCATGCTGTAACTGAGTGACACCACCTTGTGGAATCCCACTCAATACTCAACATTAAGTTGCAGTGTACAAGGTTAAACCATCACAGAGGAAAACTGTACAATATTTTGTTTTAAAATGGGAAAATAATTGCCAAACAAGCCTTCAGCGACTCACAGTTTGCATTTAATTCTTCCAAAAAAAAAGGGCAGTGCGATGAGGTGGATGCACATTGAACAACTGTTTGCAATAATACAAAAATAGCAATATTCCAGTTAGAACTGCTGGTCCACAGTGCAGACCAGAGAGGTTCATACTGACAGTTACACTGACAAAATGAATGTGACAAACAATACATGAACGCTGCATCAGCTGTCATTTCACCAGGCAGGTCAATCATATTAATTATTCATACAATTCATACAATTCATACAATTATACTCCACATTCTGAGCTAAGTTTAAATGAATGAACACAGTCAATTGAACAATCAAACAATCGAATTTGTCCCGGTGTGAGTGTTGAGTGAGGGGGCGGGGCTGTGGGGATAATATTTTATGATCTGTTGATTAAGTATCTCGATGACATCAGCTGGAAGGAATGCCAGGCTGCAGAATACAAAAATGAACTGGCATTATTATGTAAGAAACTGCCAATCAGATTTATTTATGCCATCTTATTCATTGGGGGCGTTGTTCCAGATCATTCCGACCCACTTTAACCTGTGCCAGCTCCATTTTAAATGGAATTCGTTGAGTTTATGGAGACTAAGATAAATACATTCAACAGTGTTGAGGCTGTCCTCAGTTTGTTCACTGAAAAACTTCCAGGGAGGCTTGAGAATGAAATACTTGAGTGCCCTCTAGAGACAAAAAGACACTACAACACTGCCTAAACCCTAAACGCTCCACTTGTTGCACCTATTGTATGTATTACAAGAAATAAACAATCTCGTGTGTGACACTGAGATTATTTGTGAAGCATTGCTAAATTAAAGCAAACATTAACACTGTTTGGATAACATGATTCATGTCTCCCTTGTCTCGCTCCCTGCCATAGCTAACATCTACAGAGCTTGGTGTGTCTTTCACCATCTTTTTGCCCTCCTGACATCTGGATGGAGGTCCCAGAGCATCCGTGTCAAGTCTGCCGGACTACGCAACATGTTCTTGCCCTAAGTCGTCAGGATCCTGAACGCTCAGGAAAAACGGAGGATCCCACAAACGCGAAACTAAACTATGGCTGACCATTGTTCATCTGCTTTAAGTGACTTTTAAAGTCTCATCTGTCGAATATGTTGCACTGTGGAGAACAATACATGTCAAGTGTGTACTATGGGAGTAACAATAAAGCACTTGAACTTGAACTCATATAGTGCAGGATAAGTGACACTCGAAGTAATTCAACTGGTAAAATGTCACTGGAGTTGGCAATCAAGCGAGCTGCAGGCAGAGGTTGGCAGGATGGGGGTAAAACCTATGTGTAGAATTTCTTATGAGACTACAACAACCTTCAAATGAACTGGATGGCATAAATTTTTGCTTGTAGAAAAATGTGACCATGCCAGTGAAAGTTGGGACAATCTTGATGCTTTCAGTGCATTCATTCTCAGTTTTCCTGTGTCGGATTCATTGGTAGGGGAGGTGGTGAAGGATGACGATGGAAGTCCCTCTTCCCTCCAGTCTTACTGATCAGTTTTACATCTGTGATGATGATGTCATGGCTCACTGCCTTGCACATGTCATAGACAGTCAGCGCTGCCACAGAAACGGCTGTCAAAGCCTCCATCTCAACTCCTGTCCTGCCCGTAGTGCTACAAGATGCTGTGATGAGGGCAGCGTTCTGCGGCTCATCCAAGTCAAAGGTGACAGAGATGCAGTCTAAGGGGAGCGGGTGGCAGAGAGGAATAAGGGTTGAGGTCTGCTTGGAAGCCATGATGCCGGACAACTGCGCCACCGCCAAGGCGTCACCCTTAGCCAGCTGGTTATCCCGAAGCAGCCGGAAAGCAGTGGGGCCCAAGACGACGGTGGCGCGGGCTGTGGCTGTTCGACGTGTGGGGACTTTACCCCCAACATCCACCATGGTGGCTCGGCCCTGGGCGTCTGTATGCGTCAGCTGGGCTTCGCTGGTTTCATCCAGGGGAGTGTTGGACACATTTGTGCCCGTCTTGGTCTGATCACTCACAGATGGTCTGAGTTTGATGCTGGGGTCTTCGCTGGAACTCTGATTGTGGCACAGTCTAACACTGTGGTGTTTCAGATTCATTTTGGCGTTCATTAGTGTGCAAAAAATAGGTGTTCCTGGGGTCCTGAGTAAGTGGCTCTTCAAGGCTTCAGGACCCCTGGCTTGTGCGTACCTGAGACAGTCTTCATTAATGTTGCTCATGTCATTTGTGCGTGTAGTAAAACTTGCAGTCTTAGTGTGACAACTGGTGAAAGTGAGACCACTACCAAATTCAGAGGAGTGAAGCGGTGCTACACTGTGGAGGTTGTCTGTCGCCTTAAGTTTTTCTTTGTTGATATGTGACCTAACATGGGCACCCCCACTCATTAAGGTTCTAGAGCAGCAAACATGGGCTGCCTGTGTTGAAGCAGTGCAATCTGGAAGGCACAATAACCCCTCTCTATGCAGGACCCTCCTGCTGCCTGAATGACACATGTGAGGAGCTGCTGTTGGAGAGAGGAATGTGTCGTCTGTAAGCTGGGAAACAATGGGGAAAGCCCTCTGGCTGTCTGGTGACACTGGCAGAGACGAAGGCCTCTGGGATGTGGTGCCTGTCGGAGGAAGAAGAAAATATCAGTCAAGGACATTGTTTAACAAAAACAAGAAACCTTCATATTTAGTTGAAGATGATTTCTTCACTGCTCAGGAAAAAAAAATAAAATTGTTGCTTCAAATGTGAATGCACCTTTAATCTGCATAATTAACCCATTATTCCCATTGGTCACAATGGTGAATGTCAAATTATTTTCAGTTATAAGGCTCTAAAAATGTCACTGAATGTTCTATCATTGCATTTCCAACAAATATTGAAATAATA